GGGTCTCGCTCAGGCTGGTTTTGAACTCCTGACCTTGAGCAATCCGCCCGCCTCGGCCTCCCAGAGTGCTAGAATTACAGGCGTGAGCCACCGCGCCCGGCCTTAGATAAGAATTTTAATCATGTAAACATACTGTTTCAAAGACCCAATTAAAATTTTTATACTTACATAAATCTTTAAATGATAAGTCAAATCAAAGGATTTCATTTCTGAGAAGAATTTTTTAAATCTTTCTTGCTGTTTCTCTACAACATATTGTGTAATTTTATTTCTGATTTTAAAAAATAACCAAACCACCTCTTAAAAAGGAAAAAAAATCATTAAAAATTGGTTTGGTATTTGTGTGACTCTTTAACTCTAAAAGGGAAAAAATATGTATAAAAATAAGTGAACCAAAGGATAGACTTGGCCTGAATATATAAAATATTCAAGTAGCTTAGCTTTTCTAAACATTCTTATGTCGTTTTATGAGACTGTAAATCCCTTGAACAAAAATACTTTGGGGAGAGGACTTTTATATAAAAAGTGAAAACAGCATTTCTTTTTTTTTTTTATTTCATAAAGGTTGCTGTTGAAGAAGTCTGGTTGCAGAACACCGCGGATTGAATTGGAAGAGATGGGACCCTCACTGGATCTAGTTATGAGGAGGACACACCTGGCATCAGATGACCTTTATAAATTAGCTATGAAAATGCCAAAAGCTCTCAAGGTACATGACCTGGGGCTTGGTGCCATATTTATTTGTGTGGATTTATAGTATATTATATTGAAGGAAATACATAATGAGATCAATAGATAAAACTAGCCTCTTAGAACCAGGAAAAGGAGGAAGAATCAAAGCCGGACCATAAGGGATAATAAAAAAGAATAGCAGAATCAGGCATCAAGTTTGACTGAGAGCTTTCTGATAGTTTGGACTGCCATTTTCACCAGCAAAATTGTTTGGGGCATCATGAAGACTAAGGATTTTGAGCACAGGGTATATAAACCATATGTGCATAAAATGTGTTCTGACTTTTTTAAAAGTCACTATTTTTTAGAACGTCTATCACAAAAGAGACGACTTCTTAAGTAGTTTTAAAAAACAAGTAGAAATGTTATCTCCAGAATCCAGTAGAGATTGAAATGATAGTCATAATTGCATAAGCTAAACACAGGAAATTCGGCCGGGCGCGGTGGCTCACGCCTGTAATCCTAGCACTTTGGGAGGCCGAGGCGGGCGGATTGCTCGAGGTCAGGAGTTCAAAACCAGCCTGAGCGAGACCCTGTCTCTACCAAAAATAGAAATAAATTAATTGACCAACTAAAAATATATATACAAAAAAAAATTAGCCGGGCATGGTGGCGCATGCCTGTAGTCCCAGCTACTCGGGAGGCTGAGGCAGTAGGATCGCTGAGCCCCGGAGATTGAGGTTGCTGTGAGCCAGGCTGACGCCACGGCACTCACTCTAGCCTGGGCAACAAAGTGAGACTCTGTCTCAAAAAAAAAAATAATAAAATAAACACAGGAAATTCTCTCAATGTGTGACAGTGTATAGTGCAGTTTATAGTCTTACTTCTCAAAATGTGGTCTGACAAGTTTACCTGGGAATTGTTAGAAAATGCAGAATATTGGCTCTATCCTAGACCTACTAAATTAGAACTTATATTTTGACAAGATCCCCAAGTGATTTGTAGACACACTTCTATAAGAAGAAAGGTATACAGGGCTATACACTCTGTATCATTAAGGGGATAGTCACTCATGGAGTTACTAAGATAGCTGTAGACTAGATTTTTACTGACTCATGATAGTAGAAAGCCATTAAATATAAATATATATATATGTGTGTGTATGTATGTATGTATTCTTTTTTCATAGCCAAAGAAGAAGAAAAATATCTCCCATGATACTTTTGGTACAACTTATGGAAGGATTCATATGCAGAAGCAAGACCTGAGCAAACTACAAACCAGGAAAATGAAGGGATTGAAGAAGCGACCTGCAGAAAGGATAACAGAAAACCAGGAAAAAAAAGCAAAGAGAATTAAAAAAAATTGATGGAGCTTAGCCAACAACTACTGTTTTATTGTAGTCTTTTTACTTAGGAGAATTATCAACCTTCAACCCATTCAGAGTTTCTTATAAGATTTTATTGTATAGGCCGGGAGTGGTGGCTCATGCCTGTAATCCTAGCACTCGGGGAGGCTGAGGTGGGAGGATCGCTTGAGCTCAGGAGTTCAAGACCAGCCTGAGCAAGAGTGAGACCTGTCTCTATAAATAGAAAGAAATTAGCCAAACAACTAAAAACAGAAAAAATTAGCCAGGCATGGTGGCCCATGCTTATAGTTCCAGCTACCCAGGAGGCTGAGGCAGAAGGGTCGCTTGAGCCCAGGAGCTTGAGGTTGCTATGAGCTGGGCTGATGCCACAGCACTCTAGCCCAGGCAAGAGAGTGAGACTCTGTCTCAAAAAAAAAAAAAAGATTTTATTGTATATTTTTATAGCATGATAATTTACTATATATTATTATGAACAGCAATATACTAGTCTTAATTTGAAAGTAAGCCTCTTACTTGAGATGTAACACCCTGTTATACCATTTTCTCTATGCTATATCCTCTACCCTCCCAAAACTCCTCTCACTGGATGGATGAATGAGGAGGAATCTCCACAACCATTGATATTTTTGGGAAATTACTGAGTTAGGCATTAGATAAAAGAGAAAGCCATTGTATACAAGAGTTACCCAGGCCGGGAGCGGTGGCTCAAGCCTGTAATCCTAGCACTCTGGGAGGCCGAGGCGGGCGGAGCCTGAGCAAGAGCAAGACCCCGTCTCTACTATAAATAGAAAGAAATTAATTGGCCAACTAATATATATATATAAAATTAGCCGGGCATGGTGGCGCATGCCTGTAGTCCCAGCTACTCGGGAGGCTGAGGCAGCAGGATTGCTTGAGCCCAGGAGTTTGAGGTTGCTGTGAGCTAGGCTGACGCCACGGCACTCACTCTAGCCTGTGCAACAAAGCGAGACTCTGTCTCAAAAAAAAAAAAAAAGTTACCCAAAGTTACCAAAAGTAAGTAAGCTGTATACTTAATCAGTATGAGCTACATGGAAAGTTAACCACATCTCCCAACATATATCTACAACCTGATTTCTACTTTTTACTTTTCTGTTATTTTGCCTGAAATCCTACAAGTTGAGATTCATTTGAGATTTTAAACTTTGTGTCTTTAAAATATAGATCTCTGAGAGGGATGTCCATCAACCGATCATTGACCCATTACCTTACTGTTAGTTGTTTAAGAGATTCTGCTACTTATCAGAGCCCCCACCCCACCTTTTCTGAGAAAAAGTAAGTTTTGATAGGGGTAGAAATGGGAAGGAGAGAATGGGTGAGTTTTAAGGAATAGGGCATTTTAGGATACTATGTATGTGGCTAAAGGTTGTATGAAGGCTTTGGGTGTTTCCAGATGGCTTGTTTTGACCATTTCTTGAATACCAGCCCTGTGCCTAGTTAAATAAGCTTTCTACTTTCTCCTACTAGTGTTGCATACTTGTTTTCCCAGACAGAGTATTTAGGTTCCTTGATTGAGTCCCTGGCAAAGAAGCTCAAGTGCAAGCCTCTTCAGGTCATAAAAACATAAACATACATAGCTGTAATTTGTTGCATGAAGTAGCAGTGCTTTTGTTATCAATTCCATGTCAAAGAACTCTGTCTCTGTGTGCATGCATTTATGTGGGCTTGCTCAGGTACAGGTTACGGTGCTGCCACTAAGCAAAAGTTGGAGCCTCGGTTTTACCTTCTGCATCCTTTTCCTTCTCTTGTGAATTACTCCTTAGCCTTTCCTTTCCCTCTCCATTGGCAAATGGCTGATACTGTCCTCTCCCTAGAAAAATGGAGCTGGTATTGCTCATTTACACATTTTGCTTGATTATACATTTAACCCCAGGGTCCTCAAACTTTTAAACAGACCATTGGAGGGTCGGACTATAGTTTAAAAAAAACTATGAACAAATTCCTATGCACACTGCACATATCTTATTTTGAAGTAAAGAAACAAATGGGCAAAAACATCCACATGTGGCCCACAGGCCTTAGTTTAAGGGTGCCTTATTTAACCAAAGACCACAGGTCTTTTTTTTTTTTTTTTAAGCATATTATGGGGGTACAAGTGTTAAGGTTACATATATTGCCCATGTCCTCCTCCCTCCTCGAATAAGAGCTTCAAGCGTGTCCATCCCCCAAACCACAGGTCTTTTTTGAGTTTTATTCCAAGGTAGGGTCTTCGCTCTGTCACCCAGGCTAGGATGCAGTGGTGGTTATAGCTCACTGCAACCTCAAACTCCTGGGCTTAAGCGATCCTCCAGCCTCAGCCTCTTGAGTAGATGGGACTACAGGCATGTGCTATTACAACCTGCTAATTTTTCTATTTTTTGTAGAGATGGGGTCTCACTCTTGCTCAGGCTGGTCTTGAGCTCCTGGGCTTAAGCAGTCCTCCTGCCTCTGCCTCCCAAAGTGCTAGAATTACAGGTGTGAGCCACTGCCCAGCCCTGCACAGTCTTATCTGAAGATATTTGCATTTTATGTCTAAATGAGGGGAAAGGGCTAAAATGATTCATTTTTTGCCATCCACAAGTAGATGGACAATAGCTGGAGAGGAGAGCTGTGAAAAGGACATCAGAAATGATGGATGTATAGACTGTCCCCAGTTCCTGACCCCTGACTAGTTTTGCTGATGCCAGGGGAAATAGTAATTTTAGGAAGCAATGCAATGGGTCCTTCTCACTAGTCACTTGTAGGGCCCTGCCATTCCTGGCCCTCTCTGCATCAAGAAGACTACCCTAACGCTTCATGGTGACCTCAACCAATCTTAACCTAAAAATGGCCACATTTTTTGTATGTGGGACATTTTAAGGGTGTTTTTTTTTTGTTTATTTTAATCAATATTCTTATTTAAGATTGGTAATGCATCCCTTTGTTTCTATGTAATTTTTATGTCTGGTGATAGAGTGTCTAATAAGTATTGGAATGCAGCCCTTTTGCTAATAGAAGTGTTATATAGTATTACTGAAATCTAACAAAAGACTTTTGGGCAAGTCTTTGTAATGTTGAACCATCTGGAATCCCCAATTGACCGTTTATGTCACTGTTTTTGTGGAAAGCACGTTCTGATTTCCAGTTGTCCTTGCACTTTTGTGTGTGTGTGTGTGTGTGTTTTGTTTGTTTTTGTTTTGAGGAGAAGGAAAAAGCTTATTAGTTTGTTGGGAAATGAGGAGGGTGGTAGACTCCTATCTCAAAGTACCAACGTCTCTGTCCTTGAACTTTAGAACACAATATCTATAGATTGGAGACAACATTCACTTCAATGAAGGTAGTAAATTGCCTGTCTTAAGTTTTACCTAACTTTGGATTTTGGTAGATGAGGACAGCAATTTAATTTTTTTTTATACCGAACTACTTGTATTTTTGCTGGAATTTTAATACTACCAATAATTTATGATTCCATGAAATTTTGTTCATTTTTTTTTAACTTAAATGCTGTTTGCTTGGCATTGAACATAATCCAAAGTGGAGATGTTATTACCCAATTGAAGAAAAAAAGGGAGAAAAAAACTTACCCAAGTCAGTTTTCAATTATCTGATTATCTAGCTGCTTCTGCTCTTTCCTTCCGTTCCTTTATATTTTTAGCTATTTCAGGCCCACTCCACCCCCACAAGGATTTAAAAAGCTTTAATATGGAAGATAAAACCACTGAATCCATTGCTAAAATTTGAGCAACAGAGGAAGGTTTGTTTTTATTGAATTTCAGAAATTGGTGTTTTGTCCACCATAGAATTAAGAGATAGTGCAAAAATAACTGTCTTCTTTATGTTCTTAATAGATCATAGAAACATTCCACAACTGCATTTAAGACAAATGTATCCTAGCATATATACATTATGAAATCGTTTAAAATATTCCACATCTATTGAAATAAGCTACTGCGAAAAAGATGAAAATGGGTTTGCTGACTGGAGGGTATGTATGCTAGCAGTGAGAAGAAAGGCAACTTGCTTTTAAATGTTTGCTTCATATCAACAACTTGAGTTGTTCAGGTTTAAAAACTGCAAGGGTGTCATTGTGTTTCCTGTACTATCCAGGTAGGCCGTGTTAAGAATTTTAACTGTGCCTTGGTTGAATTGGAACTATTCTTCATTTTCTTTACATTTCAGAACCCTTTGGGGAAATGTTTTAAGATGAATCATAAATGCATTTTAATTCTATTCTTGTTCTGCTTCCTTTAAACAACTTCCATCCTTCCTCCGCCAACCTATCTCACCCCTACTCTCCCCACCTCACACTCTAGGAATCAGAAAGTAGGTTCTAAACACAGAAAAGTCAGGCTGTTTTGGTGAGGGGAACAGTGAGGAGGGGGTTCAGTTTCCCTTTTTTTTTTTTGAGACAGAGTCTCACTCTGTTGCCTGGGGTAGAGTGCAGTGGCTTCATAGCTCACTGCAACCTCAAACTCCTGGGCTCAAGTGATCTGCCTGCCTCAGCCTCTAGAGTAGCTGGGACTACAGGCATTTGCTATGACTAATTTTTCTATTTTTAGTAGAGACGGGTTCTCACTCTTGTTCAGGCTGGTCTTGAACTCCTGAGCTCTAGCAGTCCTCCCACCTTGGCCTCTCAGAGTGCTAGGAATACAAGTGTTAGGCTCCTTGTAGGGCCCTACAAGGCCCCCCCTATTGCAAAGGGATGGGGCTTATATGAGAAAAGGCAGGTCAGAGGGAAATGGCAAAGCATCTGGAACTCAACAGTTGGGGCTTTTGCCAAGCAAGGATCAAAGCCTCTGAGCTTTAAGCGCTTTACTGGATTGGATCAATTCCTCCAGCTTAAAAAAAAAAAAAAAAAATAGGTTTCTGAAGGCTCAGATAGAAGCCGAATGTCAGGTGTTATCCTGTGAGACATGCCCTCCCACCCCACTGGAGCCCAGGACTGCATAGCCACCACCTGTGGACACCAGAGCATGGCATAGGGGAGGAACCTGCAACCAGTGTTAGACTTGAGCTAAAGTTGAGGCTTGTGTTCAGGTAACTCCCTGTGTCAAACACTGCAAGTGAGCTCTGAAAGAAGTTTCTAGCAGGCAAAACATGGTCTGCTCATCTTATATTTTCCTGGTTAGAGCTGGAACCCATACTACTAAGTGAAGTATCCCAAGAATGGAAAAACAAGCACCAGATATATTCTCCAGCAAACTGGTATTAACTGAGTAGCACCTAAGTGGACACATAGGTACTACAGTAATAGGGTATTGGGCAGGGGGGAGGGGGGCGGGTATATACATACATAATGAGTGAGATGTGCACCATCTGGGGGATGGTCATGATGGAGACTCAGACTTTTGGGGGGAGGGGGGGAAAAGGGCATTTATTGAAACCTTGAAATCTGTACCCCCATAATATGCCGAAATAAAGAAAAAAAAAAACAAAACATGGTCTGCTGCATTTGAAATAAACAAGATTCACATTTATCAGCTTGAGCAGTTTATTGTCCCAATCCCCTACCTGGTTGCCCCACAGCCTCTTATCTGACAAAGTAAATGGCACAATGACTGGGTAGAAACATCACTTTAGATGACAGCGTGCAACAGCATCTCTGGCTCAGCTTTTCAGAGGCAGCGCAGGGTTTATGGCCCTGGGGCTGGGGCGGAAGGGTGGGGCCAGGGAGGAGGAGACCATGAAAATTCTTTGCTGTCCCTATTAAGCACCATTTCCATCCACTTGGCTCCTCACTTAAAGCTAGTCTATGCCACAAATGGGTCTTGAATTTTACCTCCACCACCTTCTCCCTTTAGGGAGACCTTGAGGAAGGATTAGACAGAATCCTGTGGAAAACAAATTCAAGTGGCATGGGAGCTCCTCGAGCAGAACTCTGGCTGCAGAATCAGCACTGGCTGGGGAATATGAGTGGTAGACAGTGAGTAGTGCAGTGTTGGGAGAAGAAGTTGTGGTATTAAAGAAACCGACACACACTTTTTGGATGCCGAGAGCTCAGCTGAGATTTAAAAGGACAAGATGAGGGGCAGCTGGGCATGGTGGTGCATGCTTTTAGTCCTAGCCACTAAGAAGGCTGAGGTGGTGTCAGGAATATGACTGGTTCTTAACCTCCAACCCAAATCATCATGGCCAGAGGAACAGTAGACAGAGCAATTAGCAAGCTACAAAACCACAAGTCACACAAGCAGCCTTTTAATGCAAAGTGAAAGTTTGTCCCAGAGAAGGTATGGATTGGGCTCTGCGAGTGGAGACAAACCTGTGGAATACAAGGTTTGTGTGAAGTTTTTGGTGGCAGCGAAAAGACAGAGAGAGTGGGGCCGAACGACATGGCTTTATTGAGCGCTCTCGGGCAAGGTTCGCGGGTCCCAAGAGAGGGGGGCCCGAGAAGTCACATGCATTTGGAGGGGGTGTGGGCCTTTATACTGTTTGGGGCGGGCTAGGGACTTTTGGCAGGAAGAGCTGGGGATTTTCCACTGTGACCTTCGGTGGTTATTGAGAAATAGGAGGGGCTGGCGGTATTTGTGGAATCCAGGAGCCAAAACTTTCTTATCTGGGTGGACATCTAGGTGTGGTTGTTCTCAGCGGGGCCTGGCAATTGTCCTTGGCAGGTCTGGTCTCGTGAGCCTTTTCTTTTTGATCTAGGGAGGGAAGGGGGGCCTACCACCAGCCTTACAGTTTGTTCTTCTTATTTTCTATGGATGGGGGGATTGTAGCAGGGAGACGGCTCCCTGTGTCATGGTTTCTGAAAATCCACTTTGGGGTGAAACCACAATGTAGATCAAGTTATAATAATATGGCCATGTCATAAGGTTACTCTCAGTCACCCTTCTACTAGTTTCGTAGGCTTTGTGCAGGGGAAAGTCCTCCTCCCCAATGGCTCCCTAACAGTGGGAGGATCAGGATCACTAGTTCAAGCCCAGCCTGGGCAAAATAGCAAGACCCCGTCACTAAAACAAAAACAAATGATAACAAGGCTTAACACCATAAGCAACACCAATTATTTATTTTTATAAAAGTAGTGTTAAAATGCTAACTGTCTTTTTCAAGAAATGCAAAGGACAATATATAAGGTTTTGCTTTCCAGTAGTAGCAGTAGTATGACAAAGAATTCAAAAAGGGGACCTGGGCAGGGTGCGGTGGCTCACGCCTGTAATCTTAAAATTCTGGGAGGCCAAGGGAGGAGGATTGCTTGAGGTCAGGAGTTTGAGACCACCCTGAGCAATACCGAGGCCCTGTCTCTACTGTAGCCCGGGCAACAGAGAGAGATTGTCTCAAAAATAAATAAATCAATAAAATACAAAGGGGACCTGATACGGTAAATGGTATGATACTGGCTCACAAAATTCCATGGTTTTTTTTTTGTTGTTTTTTTCTTTTTCTTTTTCTTTTTTTTTTTTTTTACAAAATTCCATGTTATTTCCATTCTTAGAATATGAGAGAAGTAGCCATTATGGTTGAGAAATGGGGCTCCAGAAAGTAATTATATCCTAATCTCAATGACAGAGCCTCAATCCCAGACGTGCATCAGGCTGTTAATCTAGAAGCAATTGCTGGCAAGTAAAGGGAGGCAAAGAACTGGTGACAGAAATCCTTTGGTTTGACCCTTGAAACATTTTAGGAAGAATCGTCACATAGGTGCCTTGTGTGGTCTTACTTAGAATTGGAAGTATCAAAGAATGATGTAGGCTGATAAAAAAAAAAAAAAAAAAAGAATTGGAAGTGCTAATTGCTAGGAACCAACACGGGTTCCCTGATCTCATTTCTTTTTTTCAAAAGACTACTTGCCTGGTAGATAGTGCAATAATCATTCACTCCACATTTATTAAGCATTATTATATTTCAGGCATTGTGATAGAATAATGCCTTACATTGTATTAATATGTTTATAATTTATTAATAGAAAGCATTTCCTTTAAAATACAAGGATTTTTTTCAGACTTTAAAAAACAGAACGTTTTTCTGATTATCGAAAACAAAAGTCACCAGCACTCTCACCATCCAGATACACAATATTAACATTTTGCTGTATTTCTTACCACTTTTTAAAAATAAAATTTTTTTCAGTGATATTTCCATTTATTTTACTTTTAGTAATAAAAATTTTTTTCTGTCTCATACATGATTGGACACATATTTTGCTTTAAAATTAACAGTCAAAATTGAAGAAACAATGGTTTATTTTTCTAATCAAGTGACCAAGCTGCTGAATCTTAAGGCCTCAATAAATGTTGCATCTTATTATTTTCATTGAATAAAACCTTCTATTTTGATTATTCCTGGTAAGTAGCAATTTTGTTTCTCCAGTGGCTTCCATTTGCCAAACAGTCATGACAGATGGTTTAACATGGTGGCTGCTGCTTTCAGGGGGTTCTGTCAGGTGACTCCTCATTTCCAGTACAGCAGCTCTTGGTAATTTTTCATCAAAAGTCCATCCATCAGGACTTCTCTATCGTGGCTGGCCAAGGAGTCCTGCTTTGGCTGCCAGAGCCTCATTCTGCTGAATATGATATTCCTGAAATCTCATGGATATTCTCTGTGTCATTTTTAAATATTTCTGTAAGCAATGTTCTGAACAGGTGGTCTCTTCAGGTTTTACTTCTCTTGTTGTGAAGTCTTTAACACAGTCCAAAAAGCAGGTTTCTGTAAGTTTATTGTAGGTCCCAAGAAATTCCTTAAACTGTTTTATCTGATCAGATTCTGGTATTTGTGCAGCCATATTCTTTTGGTACCTTTATTAGTCACCTTTTCTGATGCATGAGTTTCCTTTCTGTTCTGGAAAAGTTGTCCAACTTTTGCTTCAGTGTCTCCAGTGAAGTTGTTTCTTACTCAAGCACAGGCTCTCGCTTCCGACATCTGCACGAGGCTGGGGGGCTGCGCTGGGTTGAGTCTGGGGACAGAGGGTCAGGATCAGGGCAGGCGCTGCGGTCGCTGCATAGGAAAGAACACCTAAAAATAAAAATTTTAAGCTGCTTGCAATAGCACAAACCTGTAGTCCCAGCTACTCAGGAGGCTGAGGCAGGAGGGTCTCTTGAGCCCAGAAGTTTGAGGCTATAGTGTGCTATGATTATGTATGTGAATAGCCTCAAACTCCAGCCTTGGCAACATAGTGAGACCTCGTCTTTAAAAACAAAAAACAGGCTGGGCGCTGTGGCTCACACCTGTAATCCTAACAATCTAGGAGGCCGAGGTGGGCAGATTGCTCAAGGTCAGGAGTTCGAAACCAGCCTGAGCAAGAGCAAGACCCTGTCTCTACTCTAAATAGAAATAAATTAATTGGCCAACTAATATATATAGAAAAAATTAGCCGGGCATGGTGGCGCATGCTTGTAGTCTCAGCTACTCGGGAGGCTGAGGCAGCAGGATTGCTTGAGCCCAGGAGATTGAGGTTGCTGTGAGCTAGGGTGATGCCACGGCTAGACTCTGTCTCAAAAATAAAATAAATACAAAAAACAGGCCGGGTGCGGTGGCTCATGCCTGTAATCCTAGAATTCTGGGAGGCTGAGGCAGGTGGATCACTCAAGGTCAGGAGTTCGAAACCAGCCTGAGCAAGAGCGAGACCCCATCTCTACTAAAAATAGAAAGAAATTAATTGGCCAACTAAAAATATAGAAAAAATTAGCCGGGTATTGTGGTATATGCCTGTGGTCCCAGCTACTCAGGAGGCTGAGACAGAAGGATCACTTGAGCACAGGAGTTGAAGGTTGCTGTGAGCTAGACTGATGCCACAGCACTCTAGCCTGGCCAACAGAGTGAGACTCTGTATCAAAAAAAAAAAAAGAAAAAGAAAAAAGAAAATCTGAAAACAACAAAGTCTGATAGAAATATATAGTAATTTAAAAAGTAGAAATAAGAGAGACCCAGTGTACTTTCTAATCTGTTCAAACCACATCTACAGTACTGGTTCCAGTTCTGGTAACTACATTTGGAGAAGTTGAACTACCTGGAGTGTGTATAGAAAGTGTTGATAAAGGTGATGAAAAATCTCCAAATTTTGCCAGATGAGGCAGGAATGATTTACCTGGAGAAAAAAGACATTTACTGAACAAAATGAGTTTTGACATTTGCATATACTTATGAAAACACTGCCAGAATCAAGATGCAGAACATTTCCATCACCCCCCCAAGATTACCTCTTTAGAGTCCGTTATCCCTCCATTCCATACCCCAGGCAACCACTGATCTGCTTTCTGTCTCTATAGATTAATTTACTTACATTTTCTAGAATTTTAAATAAATGGAATAGAGGAGAAGAACCCTTTTGCGACTGGCTTCTTTCACTGAACATGAATGTTCTGGGGTTCACGCATATTGCTACTTTATCAGTGTTCGTTGCTGAGTAGTATTCCATATTATGGATTTATTGTTTTTTATATATATATATATTTCTCTGTTTATGGACCCTTAGGTTGCTTCCAGTTTGGGGCTATTATGAAAAGAGATGCTATGAACACTAGGGCTACAAGTCTCTGTATGGACAAGTGTTTTCATGCCTGTAGAGACCTACGAGTTAGATCACATTGAACACTCAGTTCCACTAAGAGCTGAATGAACAAGACTGACAGGTTCCCAGTCCTCAGGAGGCTCACATTCTAGTGGAGGGGAAAAAGTGGTGAAACATATATATAAATAAGATGCATTCAGAAAGTGATAAAAGATATAAGGACAATAAAATAGAATAGGCGAAGAGTGACTAAGGAGAGTCTACTTTAACTAGAATGATAAGGGAAGATCTCTCTGTAAAGGTAACATGAGCTGAGTTGTGTCCTGAATATCAAGAATTCCGTGTATGAAGATTTGGGAGAGCACAGTCCAGGAACTGGGAACTATCAGTGCCAAGTCCTTGGGAAAGGACTGTATTTGACTTGAGAAGGATGTAATAGTTGTCTCCAGATATTGGAAGGACAAGTAGAACAGGAATTGCACTTATCCTGTGAAATTTAAAGGCATACTTATGACCAGGGAGTGAAAGTTAGATAGAGAAAGGTTTCAGTTCAGACTCACCTCTTAGTGGGTAGAACTGCCCATGACTGAAATGCGTTGCCTTGGTAAGTAGTGAGGCTCCCATGATTGGACAGATTCAATAAGAGAGATGCTAGAGAGAGGATTATGACTGAAGGCAGGAGATTGGACCAGATGTGCTCCCCAGCTGAGATTCTGTGATCCAGGAGACATTTGGGGATAGAAAAATGACCGGGTTTCAAGTTCTTTTCTGTTGTTGCTATTGAGGTTTTGTTTTCTTTTTTTCTTTTTTTTTTTAAAGACTGATTCCTTTCTTTCTTGCCTTGCCTTTATTTCTTTCTCTTTCTTTCCTTCCTTCCTTCTTTCTTTCTTCCCTCCCTTCCTCCTCCCTCTTTCCTTTCTTCCTTCCCTCCCCCGTCTTTCTTTCTTTTTTTCTTTCTTCCTTTCTTTTTTCTTTCTTTCCTTTCAACAAAGTTTCACCCAGGCTAGAGTGTAGCAGCCCAATAACAGCTCACTGCAGCCTTGATCCTGGGCTCACGCAGTCCTCCCACTTTAGCCTCCCGAGTCACCAGGACTAAAGGTGTAATCCACTGCACCTGGTCTAATCTGCTATTAACCACGTCAGTACAGCGCGAAACCTTGCCCACAGCCGCACTCACAGTCCGCACGATAGTTTGTGCTGTGCATTGACGTCGTTTTGCTCTTGTGTGATGAGGAAAGCTTTAAAGCACTGAAAGCTTGTTTTACTTTACAGGCAGCTTTACTTGCAATGTAAATCAGAATAGGTAACATATACGTATATGTTTTTATTACGTTATTTTTAAATGTTCACAATTTTATTTTGATAAATGAAAAATTAGAAACGTCATATTACTGCTGTTGGCTAAAGTTGCCATGCACATTCATCTGTGGCTGTCGACTATAGTCCACGCTTGTACCGAAGTGGTTAACAATAGGCACATTTAGGCCGGGCGCGGTGGCTCACCTAATTCTGTCCTTTTTTTTCTTTTTTTGAGACAGAGTCTCACTCTGTTGCCCTGAGTAGAGTGCCATGACACCAGCCTACTTCACAGCAACCTCAAACTCCTGGGCTCAAGCGATCCTCCTGCCTCAGCCTTCTCCCAAGTAGCTGGGACTTCCTAGGCCATGCCACCACACCCAGCTAGTTTTTCTATTTTTTGTAGATACCGGATCTTGCTCTTGCTCAGGCCGGTCTCGAACTCCTGAGCTCAAGCAATTCCTCTTGCCTCGGCCTCCTAGAGTGCTAGGATTACAGGCGTGAGCCATCAGTCTGCCTAGTGTTAATCTTTAAAACATCTTTTATTGAGATACAACTCACATACCAATACAATTCATGCATTTAAAGTATAGCACTCAATGGCTTTATTCACAGAGTTGTTTAACTTTTACCACAATGAATTTTATAACATGTTCATTACCCCCCAAAAAACCCTCCTCCCCTGAGCCATCACCTTCCAATTCCATCATCTTTCTCCAGTCCTAAGGAACCACTAATCTACTTTCCTTCTCTATGGATTTTCTTAACCTGGACATTTCACATAAAGGAAATATGTGATAAAATATGTAGTCCTTTGTGACTGTCACCTTTGACATATGGCATCATGTTTTCAAGTTTCATCCATTTTGTAGAATGTGTCAGTACTTCACTTGTTAAATAATATTCTGTTGTATGGATATACCACATGTTTTTGTCCATTCATCTATTGATGGGCTTTTGGATTGTTTCTGCCATTTGCTATTGTGAATAGTGCTGCTTTGAACATTCACGTACATGTATTTGAACATCTGGTTTTAATTCTTTGGAGTATATACCTAAGAGTGGGATTACTGGATCATATGGTAATGCTATGGTTAATTTTTTGAGGAAATACTAAACTATTTTCCACAGCAACTGTATCATTTTACACTCCCACTAGCAATGTATGAGGGTTCTAATTTCTCCACACCCTCACCATTGCTTGCTGTTTGCCATTTTTATTATAGTCATCCTAATGGGTATGAACTAGTATCTCATTGTGTTTTTTTTTTGTTTTTTTTTTGAGACAGAGTCTCGCTTTGTTGCCCAGGCTAGAGTGAGTGCCGTGGCATCAGCCTAGCTCATAGCAACCTCAAACTCCTGGGCTCGAGTGATCCTTCTGCCTCAGCCTCCCGGGTAGCTGGGACTACAGGCATGCGCCACCATGCCCGGCTAATTTTTTTATATATATATCAGTTGGCCAATTAATTTCTTTCTATTTATAGTAGAGACGGGGTCTCGCTCTTGCTCAGGCTGGTTTTGAACTCCTGACCTTGAGCAATCCGCCCGCCTCGGCCTCCCAAGAGCTAGGATTACAGGCGTGAGCCACAGCGCCCGGCCCCTCATTGTGGTTTTAATTTGCATTTCTCTAATGATTAATGACATTGAGCATTTTTTCATGCGCTTATTGGCTATTTGTAAACTTCCATAGAGAAATGTCTGTTTAGATCCTTTCTTTATTTTTTAATTGGTTTTTTAAAATTATTGAGTTGCTAGAGTTCTTTATATATTCTAGATACAAAGCCCTTATCAAATATATTACTTGCAAATATTTTTTTCCATTCTATGAGTTGTCTTTTCACTTTCTTTTTTTTTTATTGTTGTTTGAGACATGGTCTTGCTGTGTTGCCCAGGCTGGCTTTATCATAGCTCACTGCAACCTCAAATTCAGGGGCTCAAGTGATCCTCCTGCTTCAGCTTCCCTAGAAGCTGGGACTACAGACATGTACTACCACCCCCAGCTAATTTTTCTATTTTTTGTAGAGCTGGGGGTCTTGCTCTTGCTCAGGTTGGTCTTG